AGTCTTCCGGGTTGAGAGATGCTGGACTGACAGCTTGTGGCCAAGAAGAGGTACTGCGAGGCCAGCAACTATTGCAGCCATAGCTGGGTTTTCTTTCAGCACCTGAGAAACCTATTTAAAAAAAAGTTTAACCTTTAGCTTTAATTTGTTTAGAAAGTTAGCTTTAAACATCTGCAAATCTGAATGCACAGTACAGATTTGCAGAATTTTTGCAGACTAGGTGTAGCAGACTAGGAAAACAAATATGATATGTGCAAAAGGTTGGGATCTGTTTTTTTAATACGTCATATCCCTTTTGCAGATAAAACAAACAGACTTGCTTTCAGTAAGGCCAAAATTCTATTTTTAATTTAGATTTTTGGCCTGTTTTCCAATGCAGGATTATTATTTTCACATTACCTTGTCATGTACCTGGGAGATTTATAAATAACAGTAGTACTGTTAAAACAAAATCTGCAGACATAAATGTTTAGGTTATTTTACTTACATGCACACAAACAAAAAAACTGTACCCAATCATATGTGCGTTCTCTGGGGGCTTTTTGGTACGTTAAAAAAAAAAGTATAAATAAACCTCTGTGGGGTTTTTTTTTGTGACAATACCATCTAAACTGAGTCAGTGTGACTAAAATCTGTTTCAAACTAAAAACATGGATTATTATTTAATAGAGAAATTAAAAAGGAGTACACAACTTTGTACACAGGATTTGCAAAAATAACAAGGTGCATATATACAGCCATTCACAATTATTCACTTTTAATTTCCATCAAAATTAGCAATGTAAGCATCTCAACATCTTGGCAATCATGCTTTTTTTTTTATTTACATTTGACAAAAAAAAGTTAACTGTGTTTTACGAAGTTTTGTATAAAAAATTTGACAGATGAAAAAGTAGGTGTTTTCAAGGCTTTCTGACCAGGTAGTACTATTATACATTTTTTTCTGGCAATTGAAAACGATGTGTACATTAAAGTATGAGTCAATGCTGTAAGAATATACAAAGTACACACCTGTATACTAACAACAATTGCAGAATTCACACATTTATACATGGCTTTGTAAACAATTCTTTCACTGTAGTTCAACAAACCTTGCACTGATGGATTTTTTTTGTTTTTAATCACTTAATTCCCAATATCACTTTCAGTAATTTAAACACTAAAAAAAAAAAAAAAAAACTTTGATAATTTTTAATACTCACAAAGATAACATCATTTTCCGTAAGAAAAAAAAAATACAAAAAAAGGAAAAAGTATGAATGAAAACCCGAATAGCAATAGCAAGTCTTTTATGTCAAAATACTGGACTGGATTGTAGTTGAAAAAATGGTGAAAGAGAAACACTTAATGAAATTAATGCTGGTAAGGAAAATGGAAATATGAACAGCAATCTTACAAGCAACAGTAAAACTGTTTAGAAACAACTGTTAAAACAACGTGTTCCAATCTTTTGTAGCTTCCATGAGATGTCTTTGGCCGTGTCCTACCCACTCATCCTGATTGTCAAAAACCCGACCACAAAACCAACAGTTAAATTTAGCCTGAAGCCTATCGGTAGGTGTATTTTTGACAATTTTGTAATTGTTTTTGCTAGTTTTCTTTAAGGTTAGTTTAAGGACAAATCGTTCTTTTACAGGGCTCACAGGCTTTGAATGGCGGCTCCTTCCATCACTTGAACTTAGTAGACTTGACTCTAGAAGAGCTTCAAGTGTTCGTTTAGACAAAGAAACCTTTAGAACATGACCATTAAATTTTGAGATGGTTCTCATAACATTGATTACTTCGGGAACATCAGCATCTGGATGATTTAACACAACAACAGGCTGATCCCTTCGGGGATACTTTACAAGTTGGTTAGCATTGTAAGGAAACAATCTTAGTGTTCTTACTACATCCTTAGTAGGTTCTGGTGGTGGAGATGGTGGTGGTGTTGGCATTGGTGAAGGCATCTCTGGAGGACTTTCTACTTCGCTTGTGTATGACTTTGCCTTGCACTTCCTGTGTAACATTTGCTTTCGTGGCACCTCATTCATGTAATCACGAACTCTCTTTTTTGTCCTAAATTCAAAGTCAGCTTCATAACTGCTAGCGTCTGATAATTTTCGTTTGCAAGATCTGTTCTTAGAACTTGATGATGTATTCAAATTATTTTGCTTGGTTTTTGATTTAGGCCCCTTTGAAGTAGACATAGAAGGTTGAGAGACAGATCTGTCATCACTTGAAGGAGACAAATGTTCTTCCATTGAAGCAGAACTGGAGTTGGACCTTGGACAATGTTTTTGTTCTGCTGGCTTACTCTGCAAACAAACAGCATTGCTGACTCTATTTACAGGCACCTTTCCACCATAACCATCGAATGCACTAGTGTCCTCCTCTTTAACTGAAGATGCCGACATTGTGGCTTGCTGAACCTCCTCAGGTTTCTTTGGTAAGAGTGCTCGACTGACCTGGTTTACCTGGACAGTTTTCTGTGTGTTTGCACTTGAAGCACTATTTGGCAAAACATAATTTAGCAGGACCGCTTGTTTTCCATCAGGCAAAAGGGCATACAATGGCTGTTTCTGCATGGATTGTGGCTGTTTATTACCCTCCATACTTCCAGTTGTTCCTCTTGCGCCATCTGAGTTGATACAATACTGGAGAACATTCAGATTAATTGGAAGTTTGCTTCCTACAGAAGAACCAGAAATTAAGTTGGCTGAAAGACTTGGAGAAGTACCCAAGTCTGACTTTAAAATATGAGGTACAGGAGGACGTTGTAATCTAGGAAGTGCCATTTTTCCTAAACTGTTCACTGTACTCATTACCTGAGAGGTACCATTGTTCACATTCGTCACATTCCTTATGGTACCAAATGGGCCATTGGCAATAGTTAACACCATGCCAGGTTTTGTATTAAGCATAACCGGTGTATTCATTCGGTTGGGAGTCGAGAATGTCGCTGTATTAGAAGCACTTGCCTGGGATGTTATTCTTATACCAGGTTGATTATTAGGTAAAACTGGCAGTGTAAACCTGTTAGAACCTGATGGATAAAGAACGGTATTGCCTTGTGGCATGCCAGAGATGTGTGGCGTGCGAAGGAAATGAAAAGCAGCTGGTCCAGAAGGTTTTGTTAGATTGTTGATTCTGTCTTTTGTTAGCTGTTGATTAACTATGGAATCAGAGTGTGTTTTCAGGAGATCATTTACTCTTGCAGGGAAAGAAGGTTTAATACCAGATCCTGAAGAATCTGGTTCCTGCTTCAAGAACACAGATGAAGGAACATTACCATTAGGTATTCGACTGTCAAATCTTGGAACGGGGCTGGACAAAGGCTGCTTTGCAAAAGCAGATGGATTGTTGTTAGCAAGCGGACCAGATGTTTTTGTTAGGCCGACTTTGTCATTTACTCTTTTGTTATCTTGCAATATGTTATGCAAGTAAGTGTTTTTCCCAAAAGGTTTCGGATCAGGCATGCGGCTTTGTAAAGAAAATACAGACGTAATCCTCGGCATGAAGGGTGCATTGTTACCTTTGTTCATTTCTGCTGGTCTTGGGAATCGGTCATTATAATGGACACCTCTCATTCCAAAGGCATTTTTAAGTGGAAAGGTGGAATAACCAAAATTCCCAAGACCGCTTGCTGTGGATGCATGTAAAAGTGAACTGTTTAGGTCCTTAGAATACAAGCTTGCAGAGGATGTCCTTCCGCTGCTTTCGCTGCTATTGTGAGGTCTATACAAGAATCCAGTAGTTGGATCAATAAATCGACTTGATCCAGTAGAAGGATGCATTCGATCCTTCGATTTTTCATAGTTATGGTCATTGTCAAAAAACTGTTGTTCATTTATATTGTATTCCTCAGGTTCTTCTTTGATCTTCCTGCCTATAGCGGACGCTGATGATGTTGGTGCATTAAAACTATGCACATTTTTGTGTGAAGGTTCAAAAGAGGGTGGTCTGTTAAGTGTTCCCAGCCTGGAAGCAGATTCATTTTTTCTTGCAATCAGTGAGCCAAGTGCTGCTGCTGTAGCCTGCAAAGATGTAGGCTGCTTCTCCACTGGAGATCCAGCCACTGAGTTCTGCATTGAAGGAGGTTTAAATGATGGAGTCAAACGATTATCAGTCATACTGTTTGATGCTCCATATGGTCCATGGTTAGTGCTGTGAGTAAAGCGAGGCAAGTTGTTTGATGATTGAGGTGATGGTTGAGATGGTTGTGAAGTACTAGTGGGTTGCTTATTTGATGGTAATAACTTGATAACTAGGTTTTGCTTTCCATTGACCATTTTGTAACCCACAAATGTTGCACTGTAATTTGCTGGAACGGTGATTTTGTTGTTTTTTACCATTAGCACAGTTGGCCCATGAACTACATTTTGCAGGAGTCCCAAGTTACCTTGCGTGTTTGATTCCTCTTTGTTGCAATTTACTGTAGTTACAGATGTAATTCCGTCATTTAAAGTCTGTTCAGAGTTAACATTAACCCAAAAGTCTTTCAGAGCCTGTTCTTTATCTGCAGATTTAAACTGGAAACTATTAGACCTTTCAATGCTTTCTCCGGCTTGTTCTGTGCCTTCTTGTCTCCACAATGATTTATCTTGAGTATCTGTAGCGGGTTTTTTTAAGGCAAGCTTCAGTCCAGCATTTGTTTGTGCCAATTGTGTATTAGCGCTGTCTACAATATGTTCATCTCGTGTGTTAACATGCTCTGCATGTTTGGCTAAAATGTGTTTCACAATAAAATCCTTTCGTGTTGCACTGTAGTTGCAATACTGGCAGCTAAATGGCAACATTGTACTGTGTCCCTGAAGATGTCTCTGAAACTCAGCTTTGGAGTAACTAATATGGTTGCACTTTTGACAAGCATACTCTATTCCATTGTGCCTATGAATGTGCTGAACAAAAGTCCCAACATCCCTGGTGGTAAATCTGCACTTTGAGCAGCTGAAGTGGCCATTGACACAGTGCGCAATTGAGAAATGCTTTGTTAAGCCCAACAAGGTGTATAAATAGTCATTGTTACAGATCTCACATTTAACCAGTGCACTCCTATGAGTTTTTCGATGTTGCTTAAATTCCTGAAAATCACTAGCAGAGAAATTACACATTTCACAGGGATAGAGGGGTAATTCTCCATTGTGACATATTAGAAAGTGTTTTTGAAGATCATTGGGGCTGTATCGAATGCCGTTTTTGCATTTCTGACAGAAAAAATGAAGTACCTTTGCCGATATGTTGGCAGAATCATCATCAAAGTTTGGTTCAAGTTTGATTTCTGCATTCGGCTCTTCCAAATTTCCAGGATTATTGGAGATTCCTCTGCCAACCGATTTCCTTGCTGTTTGTTTCTTGCATGGTGACTTGGAACGTATTTCAGCTGTGCTATTTAAGCTTGTACTTTCCCCTGTTTGGTTTACAGGTTGAACAGGGTTTGCCTCAGTTCCATGGAAAACTCTTTCATTTATGGAAAATGAGGAGGAGTCTGTGTTTGGTTGGCTGGTGACAAAAGCATTTCTGCCATAATCCCATAATCCATCTTTTGAAGATGAAGATTGCGCTGCATCCATAAAGTAGTCTTTACTAGGTGATCTCATCATTAATTCTGCTGAAAAATTGTGATTTAAGGCGAGTCAAATCTGTGGCAGGAATTTGCCTATGAAAACATAAATTAAAAAAAGGACATTACAAACCTAAAACATTGATAAAAACCAAAAACCACGAATATTCAAAATTATAAATATGTAAAAACTTAAAATATGAAAACTCTTGTATATTTAACTTGTGTGTCTACAACACATCTCCAAAATATACAATTCACTTCAATAAAAATATTTTTTTAAAGTTACCATAGTTTTATGCTAATTTTAATAAATGAGTGAATTGAAAATCAATAAACCAACCTAAGACAACTAACCTACCTCGTGCATTTTTTGCTCCTCTAATCTTCAGTTTTTCTTCCAATCATCTATTTAGGAACCTAGGCAGAAACTTATATAATTAAAAACAGAATCCATCAAAACTAAAGCTAAGCATTAAATGTTTAAAAAGATGAGGTGACTAGGTTTTATATAGGTAGAAAATCAAGGTCTACACATTAATAACTCTAAAAGGGTTGAAATGTTTTTCTCATGTAGATCTAGAAAAACACCATCTTTAGAATCCACAATGTTCTACTATATGTAGCCTTTTCTCATACTTAAGAAAATTAGCGTTTCTCCACACACACACAGCATATACGTCTGGTTTGACAAGGAAGGTATTTATGTACATTCCTCCCAAATCATGCAACTGGAGTTCTGCTGAAATACTTTCTGATGCAATCTTATTCTAGTTGAATATGCATTAATGTCAGGCCTTAGCACAATCTACAAGTACAATGCTCAAATTGCATTTTAAATTACCTTGCCACAGTGTTTTATTTATATTTTAGATTAGATGTAACAAAATAAAATAGGAATGCAGCCAAAGTATGGCAAGGAAAAACATGAAAACATTAATTAAAAAATTACTCGTGTAGTAATAAAAACCCAAGCTCATTCCCTTCATTTAAAAACATATTATAAATATCTAGAGACAGAATACCCCGTCTGATTCTAATTTCGTCCTACAAGTCTATTTCAGTAAATTAATTTGCAACACCAAAGAAAAAAAAAAGAGAAACCAAGTTATATTCTCTACTGGTCTTCTACACTTGGTTTAATGCAAATCTAGCAGCCAACCACGTCCAGTATACATGGATGAATCACTGAGTGCTGCACATTACATGCTACAAAACTTGCTAATTATAAATAGGTTCATGATTCAAATGCAGCCATTATAACGAAAATATCCCCACCCTGTTTACAGGCTAGCATTACTGACCGGTATTTCCAGGTAACACCGCACAATCTCACACATCACATAAGGCTTCAAAGACCATAACTTGATATTATTATATTTTTTTTAATACATAGTGATTCACAACTACAATAAATTAACAGCTTCATGCAAACTGACAGCTTCCGCATTTTACAGAGATAAACAACCAAAAATAAATTTAAAAAGCAGTAAGTCAATGTCTTAGAGCTATTGACTGC